CACAAATCGGCACTGATCTTACCCAACATATTCTCTTCTTTGTTGAGTGACCTTCTTCGATTGGAAGACCGAACGGAACCTGAATACAGCCTCCGTTGAATGATTTATCCTTAGGAACGATTGGTGCTGCTTTAAGTTTCTTTTGCCATTGATGCGTGTGACACACGGAGGGGAGAGATTTGTCCTTGGAAGCTTTCAGAGCGCTTTTCTTGAAATTCGATCTCGATTTTTGTTCAATCGACTCTTCACTGTATCTCCTAGGAGGCTTCCGCAATCTCTTTTCTGTAACGGGTGTTTCTACTTTGTTTCCTTCATTAAAAGGAACGATTTTAGATTCGTTATGCTCAGAATTTAATTTCGAGGAGTCGCAGCTTGAAAGCCTCTTCCTTTTCACAGGCCTGTCGTCTGACATGTTCTCGTCATTCAAGCACGCAGTAGAGCTACCTGAACATCCTGACGACCCAGTGCTCGATGAGATCATAAGTTTGCCGTCCTTTTGATCAAACGCAACATTATGCCCTGCAACTGACAAACTATTTTTAAGCTGAATGTCTCTTATGAAAGGAGAATTCCAGTCACATAGAGGTTTTGGCCCCAGACCTCCAGCAAAAGACAAATCAACACCAAGATCTGTTGTACAAAAACCTTGTGGGTAACCAAAATCCACATTGCCTAGAAAAGAAGCATTGCATGAACCGGGAGCCAAATTGAAGATATCATCCGTGATTTGACGGTTCACTGAACAATGGAAAGAGAAAGGGCCGTGATCAAAATAGAGTAAAAATTCCAAAATACCTCCGTTGCAAGCCAAGTTAGAGAGGTTCTCACCAGTTCCCGAAAGTTTGTTGATCCCAGAACACACAACATCATCAGTTCCTTTCGATTTTTCATCACGGACCTAGAAGTACAGAATTATTTTCAAATGGTGTCTTGATAAATAAAAAAGAACAAAATGATCGAGTATATGCCACAGACAGGTTCAATCTCCGGTAGCATCAACTCTTAGCTGGCCACATGAATGACCATAATGATGTCAAAACAAGGAAATTAGTGAAGCAAAAGGTCAATCCTCTAGTTGGACATTCCATTTAAAGCAAAATGTCAATGATCCAGAACAGGCTGATATGCGCAACCAATGGTATTCTATCGAATTGATACTCAAATAAGGTCATAGTTTCCTATTTGAATAAATTTAAACGTTTGTGTATTCCCTTCGATATTTTGTTTGGTTCTAGTGATGTAAGGCTTTCTTCTAACATAATTAATAGTTTATAATTTATGAGTTGTAAGTAGAAAAATCCGAGTTTATTGGCTTCAGTCCACTATCTGTGTAATTCTCTTCCATTGTCGTCATGGAAACGTCGCATGCAAGTTTGCAATCAATTTCTTGGGACCTTGATTCTTCCTAGTCTTCTATAATCTAATCAAATTTTATTTCCAACCTTTACTTTTAGTATATCTAAACTAGGTACCGAATGTCGTGTGCTACTACCCAATTAATAATCGTGCAGAAAAATAAAAGACTGTCTACTACAGAAGTTATATTTTCTACACACATACATACATACATATATATATATATATATTAAAAAAAAGTCAGAAATTTGGTTCCAACAAAATAATGACCCGAAGGATAGCTAATCCTGTAAAAACAGAAAAGTCACCAATAATTGAACAACGTCAAGACTACACAACCTGCGGTTAATGAAATGTTAATGCCGGTGGCAGGAAGGAGCTGATACGTTTTCCCATAAACAATGGAACTGTGATCAAAGTGATGGACTGATATACCTCTAAACAATATTGAAGAGCGAAATCATGAAAAGAAAACGGAATTAAAATACTTGGAAATTAGATCATACCTCTTGCTTGGTTCTCTCTCCTTCTAGTGTTAGGCTAGAATGTAATGATTCTGCGATAACGAATTGATATTCATAAGTAGAGAATAAGTGAAGGCATGATGCACACACACATATATTTCTCGTTTCAACAAACGAAGATATGAAGAACAAAAAAAAAAGGAAACAGTGATTTCTGGTTAATTCTGAAAAAATGGCAGATAGAAAGAACCATGGATATCCAAGTGACCTACATCGTTTAGTTGAAGGCGATCTTAAGATTTAAATACTCTATGTAGGTGGCTACTATGGGTTTGAGCCAGCCAACCCAGGAGGGTAAAAGGAAAAAAATCGTGAACGAAAGAGGAAAGAATCCAAATTTCTCTACCAAAACAAACACAATTATTACAAATAGAATGAATAGGAAGTTGAAACCCCCAACAAGTGATAAAACACGGTATCAATGCAAATGTCGGTAAGTATTAAAAGTGAATCCAGATTTGTAGAGAAGTACAAAAGACAGACAAACGCATAGATCAAGGAGATAATTACCACTATCAATCTTTATTTGATCAAATTCAACAGCAAATGAAAAATTTTCAATGCTTAAGCACTTATGAGAGTGGAACGTGTTGAAATCAAGGACACTGCCAGGAAAGCATTTGTTATAGTCCGGTTGCAAGAAATGTTCCACCCCTAAGACATCATCTTCCGGGGCAGGGAAAATAGATAAATCCGAGTCGACCTAGAAGGAAACAAGAGGAATCAGAACTATCAACTTCCCAGGGGAAAAACAAAATTACAAAAATACAAAAGATCGAAAAGTAAATTTATGTCAATATCGAGAAAGCCCCCATCAAGTCCATAATACTTTCCTATCAAATTATCGTGTTCAACTTCAACCTTAGCTAACCATGATAACTCTGTCAGTTTAAACAAATCACGTCTGGATATATTTTCTCCACAACTTTATCATGCATGATGCATCTCCTTTTCATCAATGTTATGACAAGTATTGAAGGAAAAGAAAATGCTGAGTCCAAGTGCAGATTCACGAGTTCAAGCTAAACTAGATCGGTGTAACGTTGCAGTATCTCTAAGGGGAAGGGGGCAATAGGGTATACACTTTCCAAAGCATAACATCATTCTAAACAAATTTCCCCCTTCCATAATGATCCTACATGTAGATATAATCAATTCGATAGCAAACTAGAATGATAACTAACAATTGTAAGAACATTAAATAACATAAAACTCCACAAAGTTTCATACAATTTTTTGCAAATTTACAAAATTTCCTACGAAATCTTTCGAAAGAAAAGCATAACAAAAACAACAAACTTGACTGGTAAAGACATGAAACGCCTAAACAATCAACACATAATGCTCAACAATTATGAACTATAAACTATCTACTCGATTGAAAATCATGCATACATCAGGAAACTCATAAGTAAACATTTTCGTAGCCTGATTGGAAGTCATCATCGTTTCCTTCGACGCTGCATTCATCACGTAGTGAATACAAGCAGAGCCTCTCCTTCAAACCAAAGGTGTGCCTGTAATTGAAGAACAAAAAACATGTTTTAAGTTTGCAATGTAATTGGAATGGCATAACAAAGAAACAGTGACGGAAAGAGAGAAATAATTGCAATTCCCTGTCTAATAGAACGCTCAATTTGCACAAAAAACGACAGATTAAGCAGATGCAACTGAATTAAGAACCAAAAATAATCACTCCGATCCTCATCAAAATCAAACCCAGGTGGACCTCAGCCACACCAACAGTAAGAGAAAGACACGAAACCATTGAAAAAACCTCCATGCAGCCATAGCTCAAACCAGCACTGACCCATCAGACCAAGTAAACAACTATTACAAATTCATCGAGAGTTAGGTAAAGAAGACAAGCACCCAACAACCAAAAAACGCAAAAACACAGAAAACAAGCACAAAAAACAACAAAACCACAAAAAATGAGAAACCCGACAAAAGGAGAAAAGAGGAAAGGAAGCATAGCTCAAAAGGGAAGTACCACAGCTCAAATTCTGAAACACCCAAAGCTAGAAATCAACGTCCGGATCAGTAAAGGCTAAAAAAATTCACAGAACAGAGGTACAAATCAAACACATTGCAATGCCTGAGAGAGGAAATTGTAGAGACCCAGAAAGAAAAATGGAAAGGAAAACGAGGAGATGAGAAAAAAGGGTGACGAACGGAGAAGACGAAGCAGAAGAAGAGGAAAAAAGGAGTGAGGAACGAAGCAAGTAAACAGAGCGGTGAACTTTTAGGTGACGGATTTGAAATGGGTTTGAAAAAAGTTGGATTGAAATGTGGAGAGTGGAGTCCGGAAGAGGTAGGCGACAAGTCATCGCCATTTGCCGCCTTAACGATCCGGTCCTTCACGAGTCATTCTGACTCGTAATTCGTGAAAGTTAAGATTTCCCACGCGCCTCTTTCTCACGCGCGGCCCCAATTCTCAATTAAAATTTTAAATTTTGCTTTTTTTAGTTTCACGCTAATCAATAAAAATTTTGTTGAGATTTCTTTGTTTTTATTTATTTGGATTTTGTTTCTCTTTCCTATTTTTATTAATTTATTATTAAATTTTGTTCCCCGTACAATTTTGAAACATTTATGAAATTTTAAGAAAAATAGTGTCAACATTTAATAAAATAGGAGTACTCATAAAAAGGACAACATAATACCCGACCTAAAGGGCGGGTACATGAATGAACCAATACCACATTTAATTGAGAGCGATTCAATGTTTTACTTAGAGTAATTCTACGTTGAGCGACCTTCTAAAAATTTTCTTGGAATGAATATGTAACAGTCCAAGTTTACCGTTAGTAGATACTATCCTCTTTGAACTTTTTCTTTCGGAATTTTCCTCAAAGTTTTTAAAACGTGTCTACTAAGAGAGGTTTCTACACCATTATAAAAAATTATTCGTTTTCCTCTCCAATAGATGTGTAATCTCACAATTCACTCCTTTTGAGGTCTAGTGTCCTTGATGGCACTCATCCCCCTCTCTAATCAGTGTGAGATGTCACAGCATGTTACTGAGAACAAAATATACTAGAAGAGCATTTACCAGTCTATAAAGATAGTCTTCACTTTTAAAGAAAGAACAGATAAAGTACCAATGATTATTAGCTTACCAACCAATCAAGATGTTATATGTTGTTATTTGAAATTTAAGAAATAATTATGAACGGCACACCTCATCTACCATTTTTACAAGAATTGAATTCACGACGGCAAAAGATACTGAAATTCGAAATCATAAGGCAGCGTCTCCACCGTGGGCGGCGTTTTGGAATGTCCTCTGAAGCACTCCACCATCGATTTCCTCAAACTCCCCGACGTCGGCAGCTGGTTGCACACCCATTCCACCACCGCCTTCATGTCCGCCGCCGCCGCCGTTGCCGCTGTAAATTCTGGCAAGCTTCGAACCAGAAGCTCTGGCACGGCGACCCTTCTGGAGCTGGTGACCACTATCGACGCCTGCAGATACTCTAGCTTTGACCTCTCAAGCTCAGCCGCTACCGCCTCGCCGCTGTATATTCTCACCGCCGGGGAAGACCGGGTCCCGCAGCAGAGGGCGAATGTCACGTTTGGCTCCGATGATTCCAGGCCGTACAGCTTCCGGACAACGGCTTCTTTGTTTTTATCCTGGTTTGCAATGTTTGAAAAGTCAATGGATTTGACTATCATTCTCTGTCTAGTTGACTTTTAATTAGAAAAAGTTTACAGCTTGTTAGCTATGGTGTTCTTTGACCCATTAAGTAGAGTCAACTTAGTTTTATATATAATATTGATTTTTTTTTAAATGAAAAATTAAATTATAATGTGTGAATAGTTACCTCATTGTTGGTCGACAATGGTTTCCTTAGAATGAAATGCTCTATGGCTTGTGCGTTTATGGTGTTGCCTCCAATGTTAACCATGGCCTAAATCCGAACAAATATTTTGACATTTATGTCTCAGACCAACGTTCGTCAGACACTTTGGTGCAATTAAGAATGATTTCATCTTATCAAAACATGAATGATAAGAATTTAAATGGACGGTCGACTTATAGATTATGATATAAGAAAAAGGTTGAATTTATAGGGTTTACTTGCCTTATTCAACAAAGCAGCTAGTTTTTCTGGAGAAGAAGGCACTCCGTATTGGAGGAACCCCTGAAACGAACAAAATTTGATAAGAAACGCCTTAATGGAAATGAAGTTAAAAGAATGATATTTTTATCCACGCTTTACATTCATGATACAAGCATTGTACATGTTGATCCAAAACGCCAGCTTTTGTTGGTAATTCAATGGCTTTAGATCGACTGTTTGCAAATTGTTCATCAGAACCCTGTATTCACCAAGAGTCCACAGTGGTAAAGATTAGAACACGATGAAGACTAGCTTCATGGAGCTTAAAGGTCGTTTAAAAGTACCTTAACTTGGTTATGAGAGGGATGAAGGTAGCACTCGCTATGGATTTTGGATCCATGGAAGTTGATGTGAATATGACTAAGTTTTTGTAAGGACCAATATCCCTTGGAATTGACTCTTCGTTTTCGAAGATGCCATAAGGATCTTGTTGCCTCAATTCCTTATGTAGTGAAAGACCTGAGTTTAATCCATTCTCGACTCGGAAGCTTCTCGAGCTCAAAGAGGAATGCAATGACCTCGAAATGGGACCCGACTTCTCTAGCTCCATTGTTCTTGAGGTTCTTAGCAATCTCACGTATATGAAGTTTAAGCACTTTATAATGCTCTCTGATAACTTATTGGGATGCCAATTTTGAATGTTTTCTTCTAACGGTATTGGCATCGACACATATTTTTGGGATGGCATGTGTAACGGACTTCGTTCCCGTCGCTAAGAAGAAATGAATTCAAGTGTGTTGTTACGTGTCACAAAACTGCAGAAACTTCAAAAAACGAAATGGAACAAAATACGAAGTACCTTTGGAGAAGGATGTTGGGGTTCTCGTAACGGAGACGGAGGGACAAGAAGGCCACTCTTTCTCGGAACTCGTTCTTGGAGTTTAAGCTCTTCGAATGAAAGTTGAGTCGCCTTCTTATCTCTAAGATCTTCATTTTTGGCATCCAATCTAAAGTGATTGAGGGCATAATCTCCCTTGATGGCTTTGCTAATGAAGTGGAGACCCTTGGTGTCAAAAGTTGGCTTGCTAATTGGGTTCCAATTCAATGGTGGTTTGTTGGGTGCGTTATTGGCTTGAGCGGTCTGCTCAGAGCTCCATAGTTTGGACCGTGTGGCTCGTTGTTTCTCACTTTTCAAGTCTTTTTGAAGTTCGATGATTTGAATCTCAAGTCTTCCTATTTCACTCTCCACCATAGCTAACTCTGTCAATAGCTCCTTCACCTGCATTGCATGTCAACCCGAACGGTTCAAATATCAGCTCACATCAAAACACAGCAACGACATAATGTACCTCTGGCATATAAGGCCGTGAGTTCAATTTCACTCACCAACTCAATTCCCATTCAATTAATTGATACAGTTATTGACTTTAAACGTCGGAACTAACATATATCTTATCAACTTTTTGGTCGAAGAACGGGAGAATTCCTACTACACTTACGACCCGAATGTTCAAATAAGATCGAAGAAAAGTTGTGTTAGGAACCCACTTGTTGGCATCACATCATGTGGTCCTTAAAGAGGGAGACAAAGCAGAAGTTGTAACAGAACTATGAAACATGTCCTTTCAACTATCAATTTTTTTTTTTTTTTTTTCAAAATTTTAAAAAAGACAGCATCATGTCAGAATACCCCACATTAAATATCATCTGACATCACATTAAATATTGTAATGTTTAATTATATTCTATTTTGTTTATAATACATTAAAAAAAAAAAAAAGTAGTTGATATTATTTACTAATAATATATATCTTTCATTATTAAATATTTTAAGAAGTTTGACCAAGTTTTTTAAAACACTTTTAAAATAATAATAATAATAAATGAAGGAAATAATTGGTCAAGAACCTTTTTTTAAGGAAAAAAATATAATAATGTAATAAATATAGTACAAATTATAAAGAACTAATATGAAAAAAAAAATTATGTTTATTTTATTTTATTTTTTTTAGAAAAATAGGAAAAAAAAAACTCACGATTATATTGACTAAAGGCCAAACGTAAATTAATAATTATAGGAACTGACCCGTGGTTTTTTCCCATTTTAACCTCATTAAAACGAGAGTAAAAATTGAATATATGGTAACTAAGAAAGAGTTGAAGAAAATGAAAGTTACTTTTCTTTATATTTTATTACTTTACAAATTTCACATTAAATTTACGAGAATGTTTAATGTGAACTGTACATTATATGTCAACATGAGTATAAGCTAACGACAATTAATATTTGTACGAGTGAATAGAAAGTTGGATTTACATTGGATCTCACATGAATCGACCCATTTATCTTCGTGAGGAGAAGTTTGATTTCAAACCCTTTAAAGTAGAAGATTCAAATTTCTATACCCGACATTTATCGTACCACCGAAGAAAAGGAACGAACGGTGTACCTTAGGAGGAAGGAAGTTCGTTGAGATGGGAAGTGGTGAAGCATTTTGTTGTGTAGTAAGACCACCTAAAATCTCATGCACCTTTTCCTCTTGATGTAGCAATTTTTGAAGCATCAACACCTATCAATAAAAAAAAATTAAATTCATAAGTCTCGATTATAAACATCAAATATTTTCAATTTTTTTTTATAAAAATCTTAAAAATAAGTTTGGTTTGAACAGAATTGTAACCTTAAAAAAAATGTCAATTTATGAATTAACTAGAATTTTTTCAATTTATAAAAAATCCGACTCAACCCAAATCAACAAAATTTAAATCAACCCAGTTTTTATTGTTTAGGTTGGATAGTCTGAGTTGATCGAATTATTAAATCATATGAATATCGGAGAACAAAACTAAAAAATTCATTAAAAAATAATGTTTATAAGCTTAATTTTTTATTTAGAATGAATTAAAAAAAAAAAAAAAAAGGGTTTGGTGTAGGTTTGTTTAGAAGCTCTTCCTTTGAAGCAAAGCTAACAATTACTAATTATAGACCCATCAAACTACCCTCTCTCATCAATTATAACATTAAATTTCCCATTAAACAAGCTTCTAATATCATAAGCAACACCAACAAACCTCTCTTTCAAGCTCTTCCTTCTTCCTTTGCCCACTAACCTTCTTCTTCATCTGCATTTAATCATTCAATTCCTATTAAACTCGACGAAATAAAATCCGGGTTTGTTTCGTTATTAAACGCATACGAGTTTGAACAAAGTTAGACTAAAAAAACGAAGCAAAGATTCAAACTTTGAATGTTGTAAGAGGAGAGAAGAGAGAAGAGAGAAGCTTACATATTGGGAGGGAGAGTGTGGAGGATGAGGGTGAGCCATGAGGGTTAGTTGATATGAGAGTTGGAGGAGGAGATCATGGGGATAATGAAGGGTTAAAAGCAAAGAGGATGGATGATAATGGCTTGGAGGTGAAGGGAAATGGTTGGGGTATGGCGACGTTTTATTTGGTGGGGAAGATGGCGAGGAGCTTTCAGTTTGAGGAGAGTGGTGCTGGTGGTCATACCTTTTCTTCTCCAATGAGTACTCACACCCTTCTCAATCTAAACCATGTATGGTATGGTATGAGTACCAACAACAAGAACACTGAGCATCGAAAAAAGTGGATGGTGAGATCCCGCATCGGTTGAAGAGGAAAATAAAGCATTAATTATAAGGGTGTGGAAACCTCTCCCTATAAGACGGGTTTTAAAAATTTTGAGGGAAAACTCGAAAAGGAAAGTTCAAATAGGACAATATCTGCTAGTAATAAGGTTGAGCTGTTACAAGTTGGGTTTTCTTACGTGGGTCGAGCTTGAAATATTGATCTTTTAGTTTATAATATAATGTTTTGGGTTTTCTTACGTGGGTCGAGCTTAAAATATTGATCTTTTTGTTTATGAATAATGTTTTGGTTACTTTAAGGTGTAATCAGGTTAGTTTTTGTATATAGATTATTGAAACATTTGTATGGGTGATATTATTAATGAAACTATGAATACTTTTTTCTTTTTGTTCTTCACTCGACGTAGGACGCTATCAAAGGTTTGCTTAAAGAAAGGAGTTTTAGCTAGTGTACCTCTAAGGAACGGAGTTCATTTATCAACACGATGTAATGAAAAGAGTACGTAAATTTCTTAATATTGGTTCATTTATATTTTTTACCCTAACCCGTCATGAGGTGGAGGTTGAGACTAAGATTCCACTTCGAGGGGCACTTCAATTCATTTTTCTTTCTCCATTCCGCGCTAGACGCTATAACACGTTAAAAAAGTACCTATGGAAGCAAGAAGCTATAAAGAAGACACGAACTATGAACTAGGGGCATGTGTCAAGGAGACCAACCAAGTGAGTTTGAGGTTCGACCCGAACTCGCGGGTTTAGCTCCTTTTGTTTTGTGTTAAATCTTTTTGGAAATTTAATTCTATTCATAACAATATGGTTTTTTTTTTTTTTTTTTATATAAACCTAAAACAAAAAGGAATTCAAAATAATAAAAATAAAAAATTAATTAGTGAAGTGATTAATAATAATAAGAATGCTTAAAGGAGTATTTTGCTGTTCTTTTAAGGATAATGATACAGCAAACGGCCGTTTAAAAATTAGTTAGGCTTCTCAACTACCACCAAGAGATGTTCTTTCCTCTTCCATTTAATTTTTCATGTAAATTTTTATTTATTTATTTTTACGGGAATTCAAAATTTCACAAATGTTTTTTATTATAATATTTATTTCAAATTTGTTTAATATAATTTATATAAAATAAAATAAAAAATCATAATAATATTTCATAATGTAATTTCAATATTAGGTCATAAACTTTAATATGTTTTTAAAAAAGTATTTATTTAATTATTTACTAAGTATAGATATATAAAAGTGGGGTGGGACGTGGCCTGAAACAGAGAATATAATATCTATTTTCGACCCGTTTAGTTAATAGGAAGAAGCTTCTTCTCGTTCCCTCTCTCGTTCTACATTTAAATTGAAATTTTCGTTCCGTGAGTTAAATAAACATCTCTACGACCACAGTACCAGACAAATATAATTTTTTTTAATGTATATTATAGTTTTAATTTTTGTAAATATTTATTTATTTTTTTTATTTTTTTGCTTTTTAAGTTTTGATTTGATAGTAGTTAGTTGAGATGTCTACTTTATGTTTGATAACTTTAGTCAATTTTGAAAGCCATAGAATTCGGTTTCAAAAAAAGTTGGTAGTATTTATTTCCATTTTCTATTTAGGTTTGAAATCGGACATAGGAACTTCAAAATTGTTACAATATTGTTCAAATAATCGGACAAGAAAATATTTCATCGAACAAAAGTAATTGAGACGATCAACGGATCCTAGAGCCTTGCAAATTCCACATATCTAAGTTCGATTACGAGTAAAAATCGATCAAGCGTACACTTTAACAACAAACCAAGCTTCATTCTAACTTGACTCGTTGTAGTTAAAAGAAGTATCTCTCGAGAGCACATTTTTTCCTTTATGCACACTCGTTCCTACTTTTTGTAAACCTCAACTCTCTATTGACTTGACCGTCAATATTAATTTGAATCAAACCACTTAGAGATTCGTGCCAACATAAAGAGTAGATACTGACGTACTAATTGACATTGAATGATATTAATCGAGATTAACAATGTCATAAATGTTGTAGCACAATCAGCCAAAACAATGTATTGTATTTTTGGTGGATGGGTTAGACAAAGAGAGATGGGTATGAAGTTAGGGTGCATGACCTAGACTCGAGGACATGTACATATTAAGGAGCGTATGGTATGGCCTATAAGTTGTCCCTTACAAAACAATGTCTATTTTTATACAAACACCTCTTACTTACTCAATGCTCCAAAAGCATTCCAAATTTCTAAGTTTCTTGGGAATATAAATTTGTTTTGTTGTGTGAGATCCTACCGAACATAAGGGTATGAGAACATCCCTAGCATATGCGTTTCAAAATCATGAGACTGACGGTGATACATGACTGATTAAAATGGGCAATAAATGCAAGCAATGAGTTTGAGCGGTTACAAATGGAGTTATAACAAGACACTAGGTAGCGGCAATTTGCCAGTAAGGACACTGAACTCCCAATGGGGTGGATTGTTAAATCTCACATCAGTTGGAGAGGTGAATGACACATTTCTTATAAGCGTGTGGAAACCTCTCACCTCGTAGACGTGTTTTAAAGCTGTGAGGTTGATAGCGATACATAACAGACAAAAATGAACAACATTTAATAGAGGTAGGGTTGAGCTATTACGTTATTCTGAGTATTTTTAAAACGGACTATGTTGCAAAATTTTTGAAACAAATGAGAAAGTTGAAGGGTATTATTCATAATTTAGCTTAGTTTAAACATCACAAACCTAAATCATCTCATCTCATGACTACCTTTCTCAACTCTAAAAAACATATATTTATCTACAACAAATGTCCGTCTTTCAAATGATTTTAAAAAAAAAAAACATGTTTTGTTTTTCCCATTTCTATGTACAACAACGTTAACATTAGTTTCAAACACTTTACTTCTTTTGGAAAGTTACCATACAGAAGAACGCAGATACACGGCTAATTACTCCTGAAACAATGAGACAGATCAAGCATTTGTACCAATTCTTGAGATCGTAGTTACTTTGCATTAGAGACCCACATCGTGTAATTAACCAAACTCCAGAGTACCTGCAAAATGGGAGCCAAAAGTTGTCAAAGATAATGAGAATATGTAGACCAAGAACAATTTTTTGTGTGTGCATTTCTTGTTGATTTGTTACCTTTTAGCATTGGCTATAACAAAAGCTTCCAATGCCCACTTCGTGTAGCAAAGGTCGCCTATTGAATCTACGACTTCGTTATTGTCGTTGTGGGTTGCAACGAGCATCATAACGACAGGAAGTAGCACAGACCACTGAAGTCGATACAACAATTGAATTAAACTCGAGTTGAATCGAACTGACCCACCTCTACATTACTAATCTATTAATATGTTTGATAAAGTTAATGAGTTTTTACTCACGAGTTGGGCAGGGCCAGGTTCGAGGAAGATGGCTAAAGCATAGGCAATTCCAGTGACACAATAAACTAAGCAAAACAGCACGATGTAATTGTCTGTGATAGAAGATCTTGGATTGTTGAAGAAATAGAACATGGATAGGTACACCATAGGCTTTATGACTGCGTTGAAGAGATCAATTGTATCCTTTGCAAGAAAATAAGCTAGGCTGCTCATTCCTGAGGAGCTCTCTCTCCAATAATGAAGTTTATCTAATGAAAATGATCTCAAAGCTGTAATCTTGCACAGCAGAGCTGAAATTTTACAGATCCCAGAAAGGAAAATTTACCAATTGATGAATACAATGTTAAGTAGTTCTTGAAGAGTTTAGAGAAAAAGTTTTAACTTACAGACAGCTATGACAGTGTATGTATAACCAAGTGAGCCAAATGATTCATCGCTCACTTTGGCTAATGTTCCCAAGCATATTCCAGCAAGCAATAGAATCAAATAATCTACAGCCTGTGTCCTAGCTTCCCTTAGTCTTTGCTTTCCCAATCTGCATATAATCAAGGCCATACCTTTTAGAAACTACAGATGAAAAAAATGGAAATTTCGGCCACTAATGATACGGATTTGACACCGCTAAAACGAAAAGCTTATTTACGATTGATTACAAGGTCCTCTTTAGATCTGTATTGCTAGTTCATGTTCGAACTTCGTAAGTTTTTGGGTTTAGTAGTAATTTAATGTTGTATTAGAGTAGAAGGTCTTATATTCGAACCCACAAGTACAGGGAGCGATAGTAATACGAATAAATAAATTTACCGTAACCCATCAAGCTAATCTCTCGGGTTAAGCAGTAATCTAACATCACCCACCAAAACAAACTAATGACATTCTAACAATTGGGGTCAGATTAAGCAGTTGATTGATTTTGAAAGATTGGGAACTTTTATCCTTATATAAATGTGTATGAAAGGAGGGTATAGGAACATACCTTCCAAGAAAGTACTTATACTGTTGGGAGACACTAGGAGTTTTGCGGTTAGATAGATCACTTGATTTCAAGAAATTCAGTTGAATATGGTCTTTCTTCCTCTCTACGATGTGCTTAACATCCTGCAAAAACTCCCCTACAAATGACACAGAGTTACCAGAATCAGGAGAATCTGTTCCTCCACGGCTCGAGTTTTCACCAGCTGCTGAAGTTGACATGCCCTCAATACTCTGCAGCATGTCCATGGGGACTGGATACCCATTGTGCAGCATCCATCTCACAGGAAGTTGTTTGTAAGTTATACCCGTACTTGTGTTTAGTTTAACCATTCCTTCCAAAATGTCAATGAAATAGTCAGGTGGGTTAACTCTATCCGGGACTTTAATCCCAAGGGTAGCAAAATACTCCTCCAGTTTCTTTACTGGTCCATGGTACACTGTCAGCCCTCCTTTGGCTAGAAGAATCAACTCATCAAACATAGTGAACAATGTGTAGCTGAAGCATTTTAAGAGGGGGAAATAATGGTGTTATTTTCAGCTCATAAGAAAGTGTATTGATGATAGAGATTATTTTCAGCTCACTGTTGGTTTAAAACGTCTACTTTTGATTCTAAACCTTTTGAAATATCAAAGATACTTGCATTTGTTTTGTGTTTGAGTTGCGTACCTTGGCTGATGAACAACCATGCAAATGTTTACTCCTTCAAGAGCCTCACGTCTAAGTGCCTTGAGGAGCAACTGTGAAGAAGAACTGTCAAGACCAGAAGTGGGTTCATCCAAGATCAGAAGTGAAGGTTCCATGACCATTTCCAAGCCAACATTTACTCTTTTCCTTTGACCTCCAGAGATTCCTCTCTTTTCCACTGTTCCAACAAGAGAATCCCTCACTGCCTGTAGCCCCAAAGATTCAATGACTCTTTCAACAACAAGCACCTTTTCTGGTTTGAGCAAATCAGCGGAAAGTCTACAACAAACAACAAAAGCAATTTGAGTAACAAACGCACTAACTCTTTCAATTCATTTAAACTAGTTTTGGGTGAGTTTGTAATGACTTAATGACTTTAAAAGAAACATTGATAGAAGAAGTGTTTTCACTCAAAAACACTTTTCCAAAAGTCATCCCAAACTCACCCTTACTCAGTGTTAATAGAAAAGAAGACGTGCCTGCATCGTGCACTAAACCAGAGATTCTCCTCTACTGTCAAGTTCCCATGAACAATATCATCTTGTGGCACAAAACCAATGATTTTCTTATAAGAATGAATTGATTCCGGTTGGCCATTAATAAGAATCATGCCAGTCATGGTACAACCGGTCACTTTTCCAGCCAAAGCAGAAAGAAAGGTTGTTTTTCCGGCCCCTGATGGACCCATCACAGCAGAAACTTTACCAGGCATAATTTTCCCAGTAACACACCTCATCAAATGCCTATTTTTTCCTTTCAAAGTGATTGTCAAATCCTTAAAAGCAACCTCAATCATAGGCCTTTTCCTAATTTCAATATCAATATCATTTGCCATTGAGATCACTCCAGAAAAGGTCAAATTCTTATTCTGTTCTTGCAGGGCTTTCTCCTTCTCAATTTGCCCATACGCATACTTGAATATCTGGCTTTGTGTGTGCAATTGTTTGCCCTTTGGTGCATGCTTCTTGATGTTTTTATCACCTATCTCTAAATTGAAGCCTTCTTGGTTATCTGGATCAGTCTCAATTTCATGCAACATCTTTGTTAGGTTGTTATTTTTCTTCCCTTTCGATGTTCCAGATGATGAACTGCCACCTGTTTGACAGGAAATTGGTGCAACTATTGAGAAACAAATATGTAAACAATCCAGTTGAGATATAGATACCTCTCAAATTTTATAGCTTAGACTATAAGCTTAGTCTACGAACTCGCAAAGTTGTGTCCATATAAGTATACTTTTAAAAGTTCATAAACCTATTAGATAAAAAAACTGAAAGTTTAGAAACCTATTAGACAATCTTTAAAGTTGAAAGTTCAGGAACTTATTTTTCATTTAACGAACTTAATAAACATTAAAAACGTTACGATATTACCCATTGGTGGCATAGCTCCTAAGGCAGCATCTGTTCCAGGCTTAGGTTGGCCAAAGCCCTTAAGTTCTGGGTGTTTTGTGGACTTTCTACGAGAGAATGTGCGTGAGAATTGTGTTTGTAGCTCAACAGCATGTTTCTTGGCAATGTCTTTTGCAGATTTCCATTTCTCGCGTGCTTGTGCTGTTTCTCTTACACTTTGGACAGCCTTCTCTCTAGATTTCGCTTGTCGTCTCTCTCGAGTTGAGAGAACTTGATCAGAGCAGTTATAAAAGATGATCAGAAGAAAACTTATTCCAGCCTGCAATCACGAGTAACCGATTAAAGTCAGGCATATTGTTAAGAAAATGAATAAAGGACTAAATTTACTTTCAAGTGTATTAACTTTAACTTATAATTCTAGAGTTGATTCAACGTGGGATCAGAGCCGTATGTCCACAGCGTTACAACTTCAAACTCTTTCCTCTTCCTGCTGTCCCCATGAGGCAGAGCTACCGCCGGTATTAGGGGGTTAACCGAAGGCCCCGCCTTCTTATATTGTTAAGAAAATGAATAAAGGACTAAATTTACTTTCAAGTGTATTAACTTTAACTTATAATTCTATAGTTGATTCAACGTGGGATCAGAGCCAACACCATTTCTTTCACTTGTTGAATTTTTTGTTAGAAATACGTCTTACTCATTTGGGTTCAGAATTAGTGATTTGGAAACCATGCTTGGTAGTTATGAACATCTAAAGATGTTTCTTGGAGAATATTTTCATCAATTTCAATCTAAGAAGCATGTCTAACAAGTGTTGGACTTAGATATGTTAAAACAAACGAGGTACTCAAACGAAGTGTTTGTACTTCCTACATTGGCTAATTTAGCAAATGATCCTGAGTTTATAAGTAAGGAATACATCTCCATTGGTATGAGGCATTTTGGGGAAGCAGGGAAGTCCAAAGCAGAAAAATATTGTACCATCCTAGAGAGTCGTGATTCCTAACCCTTCCCAGATCCCAAATTCTTTCCAAGACATGAACAAAGTAAAAAGTTAATGAAAATCTACTTACAAAAAGCATGACACCATACGCAGTGATGTTTTGATTAGCTGATTTTGGTGTACACGTTGCCATCTGGAAGCATCCTGTAGAGAAAGATATAGAAACAGATACTATATGATATTCGAAACAGAGACAAAATCAAAAATAAGGAAATTGAAAACATACTTTGCTGAGAAGTAGAACCAGTCCTGCAGTAATACCTACAAAAAAGAACAACAAAACCAGATAAAAGAGAAGACCCTAAAAACGGAAGAAACAGAGCATTAAAAGTGTTTGTGTTTATATAATAACAAGTAGAGGAAAATGAGTAGTAGTAGTAGTAGTTAGAGGATGATTATCAATACCCACTACTGCAAGGATTTTTGAGGATAGTGGAGGGACAATAGGATCCTGCAGAGCAGAAAACCTCATTACTACTCATGATATCGGCCCACACATCTGCGCCTCCGCAAGTGTGGTTAATCTTTCCTGGAGGGAGTTGATAATGGTAACTGCACCAACAAAACATCATTTCATTTCTCACACACAAAAAAATACATATAAATTTCATTCATTTTATTAATAGCACTTACGGTTCACAGATGCCTGTGCTTGCATTCAGTTTTGCAAGAGGGCAGTAAGCGCCCAATGGACAAGCTTCATTCACAACAACAAAGATATTAATACCAAACTCTTCAAACTCTTAATCAATAAAAATGATTTTTTCTAAAATTACTTGCACCTAACTATTTAAAATTTCAAAATTTTGAAACATTAAATTACCATATGTCTAAAATGAATGAAAAATAGGGTGAATAAATAAATAATATTAGGGGGAATAAATAAATAATTTTTCTAAAATTTTAAAGGAAAATAGGGTGAAATAAAAGAAATACTTTTGGAATATAAAAATAAATTTAAGAACCAACTTTTTTTTTTTTTTTTTTTAATTAGAGAAACCCCTAACCAAGCCAGTCATATTTAAAAATAAAAACATGTTTTTGTTTAATTTTCAAAACTTTGATTGGCTTTTTAAAATATTGGTGAAAATTATTTGGAGATTTAATCAAATGTGATCAAATTTCATTCATATTTTTTCTAAAAGCTCGTTTGAAGTAAGGGTATTTTAGTCTTTTTATTAAGGGATGATGTGACATTAATTTAGAATAAGAGACGTGAAATTTAGAATAAACTAAGATGTTTTTCTTAATTTAGGGTCAAATAAACCTTGAGTCGGGCTAATTAATTTCTAAGCTTTTTAAAAAAAAAAAAATTAAATAGTTATCCAACAATGAGAAAAGTGATTTTGAAAACGACAAGAATGATGCGGCAGAGAAAGGAGGGAGACTTACGAATCATACAAGTGATGCCATGGGGGCAGAAGAAACCTTCACAACAGGTGCGGCATCTGATGGTTCTTGTAGGCATTACTTTTGTTTCCTTGTAGTCAACTTTCGTACCCATTCCAGCGCTACAAGCCCACCCTGGCTCGCACCCCGATACCCACGATGACAAATTGCAGTTCTTGTTTGGCTTCAAGTAATTCGTTCTCTTTGACGACGCCCTGCTCCCGAAGTAACTGTCTAGGTAGAATTTCACTTCCGCCGCCGTGCATATTCTCGATAGAATATCTGTTCAAACCCACCAACCAAATTACCATCCTTCCTTCTTTTTTCTTCTCTTTTTTATTTAAAAAATATAATTTTCCAAATTCTATTGCACTTTATAATTCAAAAATATCTTAAAGGCAATGCCTCCATATAAATTTTGGAAAAAAAAAAAAAGAAAAAGAAATAATCAAACAAAAATAAATTGTGAAAATTATATTAATCATCTCCACCAATTTTATATATAAACATATTTATTTTATATATCAAAACTAAGACACAAAAATAATACACTATATATATATATATATATATATATAAATAAAACTAACATGTGGGTTCCACACGTATTTAAAAAAAAATTATATTTATCGTCTCCACCAATTTCTTGAGAAATCGGGTTTTAGTGAAAATAAAATAGATAAATTGAACGAAGATTGAAACAGATACAAAAACGAGATAGGTCACAAAGGTGAGAGTGGAATATGAGTGTAAGGTTTAATTGTACCTTTGCTTTTCTTAGCACAATTAGAAATGAAGGCGGAATTATTGGTGAAATTGAAGGCTCCATCCCAATCGGCATCCCTGCAAATCAAATTAGAAACAAGAAAAACGAAATGAAATCGATGAGAGATTAATGGAGATTAAGAAAGGAAGGAGAGGCAAGGAACAGACGCGTCGGCGATGCAGAAACCGAAATTCTCCTGAATATCATCCTTGAAAACAGAGGTGAAATTCTTAATCCGATCATTAACAACGTCCGCCAATATATTACTAGTTGCCTTCTCAAAATCGCTTTCTACTCCGTCTCCTCCTTCTTCATAGTCAGTTTCAGAGTTAGCTTCCTGATCGACAGCAGCCGAATCCTCCTGAGCCTCAACGGATCGCAACAAAAGTAATAACAAAAAGGAGATGGAGAAGAGTGCGATAATCTCAAATTTCATCTCCTTCCTCATCGCGACGCCTGAGAATGCCTTTTGCGACCTACAAATTCGAGTTGAGATTTCACGGATGCCAAGGTTCAAATTAGGGCTTGGCTACCGATGAATTGATGTTCGCAGAGAAAACAGATTGAGAGAAATTGGAGCTAATGGAGGAAAATGGAGAATGTGTTTGAACTTTTTTCTTATTTTCGGATTTAGGAAGAAAATAGAAATGGCGGGGAGGAAGATTTGGCGAAGGATGAGGACGAAGGAGGTTGAAGAAGATGGGGGGAAATTTAAAGGACCACCACGACATGTCGGTTTGACGCTCATTGAAAACCATTAGAATAACGCATGCACTCGCCTTCGCTGGTTTCATTCTTGGTTCAAAAATAGGGTTTTAGATAAATTTTTTTTTTTTAAATTCCGACATGAAAAAATAGTAATTATTTTCTTTTCCCTTACCTCAACTTTCATGTCCGAAATATAAACATAATATAATATAATCCCGACATCAAATTGTGAGGCTGACAGTGATTCGTAACGGGTCAAAACAGAGCAAATAATATTAGAGTAAAGCACCGAGCTGTGTGTCAGCGAGATGCTCGACTCTGAAGGAGATTAATTATAAACTTAATTAATTTATAAACTTAAATTTTATATTTAATAATTTTTAAGATTATGAATTTATTAAATAATTTGTAAAATTAATATTCAATCAGACGTAAATCTAAAAAGTTAAAAGATTAATTTTATCATTAGAACCCGAACCTGACAAGGCTGAGGTTTGATTAGATTTTTTGAAATTTTTTGGGTTGGATTCCCTGGCTAACCAAAAATAAGGTTACAAACCGATCCTACCCTACCATTTTTCAAAGATGATTACGAAAATTAAGAATAATTGACATTTATAACTAATATTATGATGCATAATAACTTATAAATATTTAATATTTCAGATTTATAAGATTTTAATTATTAATGTATCGTAGATAAATATATTCCTATCAAATCTCAACCTTACATCTAATTTTTTTTAATTTAAAAATAAATAAAATTAAATGGTACCATTTTAATTTTTATTTCCTATTTTTCAATTTAAATTAGTCTAATTACTATTTTAGCCTTTAAGATTAGGTCGAGGGTTCGAAAAATCTCGTATGTTACATCTCGTTCGTGCTATTAAACTGATGTTTTGAATATGAGGCCATAAAACTAATACATGTCTAAGTACTCGGAGGTGATGTGCGAAGAGTGGATGTCTGTACAATTGATGTACAACTATAAGAACTTTATAATTAAGCGTGTTTTACTTGAGCAGTTTTATGTTGGATGACTCATGTTGGTATACGGAGATAGTCTTCACTCTTAGAGGAAGAAGTAAATAACGTAACCATCGAAACTGGACTCGAAATCCTGAGCATGAGTCGTTACAACTTATAAAGGTTTAACGTGCATAAAAGCGATGCAATATGAAAATGATATATTTGGAACCGTGTGTGTGAGTGATGTACTTCCAGAAGCAGAAACCAAAAGACATATTTTATCTCTCGAGTTTTCGTCTACTTTTAGCAAGCACACAATAACGAGTAATACCCTAATCACGAGCGTGCAACAAATTTCATGAACTCTCCTTTTAAGTAAACTTATAATGAACCTTCACTAGTTATGAAAATGGAGGTTGAATTTGAATGTAAACTAGAGGCTGGGGCTGGGCAGGGCACTGGCGGTGGGCACAAGAGGTTGGTATGTGATATTTATTGCGGTGCGCTCGTGTCTTGATATAAAATCGCTATCTCACGACCTAGAACCACGTGCTTCTAGCCATCCAAAAGCACTTCCATGGTCCACAAACACGGCTTATCATTCACTCCCTCTCATGGACATCTCGATCGGAGAGGGGAACGAAATATTTCGTAAAAACTTTTCTTAACATACATGTTTTAAAATTGTGAAGTTGACACAGATAATACCTAATAGTAGTAAAAATGAGCTCTTACATATTTACTCTCAACGTTTCAAAATTTATTCACCGAAAATTTAGAAAACTCTAACCTAAAAAGAATTGGTCAAATAAATTAAAAAAAAAACACTATTTATTAAAGGTCAACTTAAAAATTAACCTTATTTTACTAAAAAATAATAATAATAATAAAAAAGTGTTGACACGATCTAAGAACTAGACCAACCCAAACTACCTAACCCAGGTCGTAAAGGTTAGGTTATGATAGATTTTATTTTGTTCGTGTTGGGTTGAATTTTTGAAAAATTGAAAATTATCAACCGAAGAGTATTGATAATTCAACCTAACTGAATCGGTGAACGCTACTACCAAAAAGCTCATTAAACCTTAATTTTAACTTTATGCTAAATAATTACCAAAAAATATGTGTATATATATATACTAGCCTTAAATTTATTATATTTACTTGAGAACGTTGCTAACTACCAAACCCAATTGACAAATCTACCCTCGTTTAATTTACAATATGACCCCTTCAATACCCAAATAATAACACAATTGCCCACACATCGAAATTACGAATCATGCCACCACAGTCCTTCCCATCTCTGTTGAAAGAAACGCCGAAAACGTGCGGTTGTTCTTGGCGGTTGAAATTCTCGCGCCGTACTGAGGGCAAATTCGTAATTCAACTCCATTTTCAGACACGCAGAGATCAAAGAAAAAGAAGAAAAGGAAGAAAAAGAAAAGAAAACTCGAAAATCAAAATCCATGGAGGTTTTGCGCCGAACCATGGCAACGACTGAGCCACATACAGAGCTCGCTCCTTTTTGTCTTTAATGGAGTGAATACGGCTTCGTTTCTGTCCAATGCGTGATCGTTACGTCGTTTTCATTGCCCTAGACCTCTTCTTCAATCGATAGTTGAGATTGATTCCATACTTTTTCCTTTTTGCTTGCGACGTCTTCAGCCTTTTGATTCACTACGGATTTTGCATTTTTGCAGGTTTGACTTGCTGTTTCTCTATTTTTTTTGTGTATCCACATTTTGTTGTGTTGTTGTTATAATTTTTGGCGTTGATTTGATGCAATGACGTTCCGTCAATCGCTTTCATCGTTTGTTTATTGTTTGATCGTGATAGCCGCTCTTCCGATTTTTTTATTTTTTTTTAATTGTACATCTGAGTGAGGGTTTATCTTCTTTAAATTAGTATAGATGCAATCATGGAAATTGGTTTACTACGAACAGGAATGGCGGAGGTTGCGAAATTGCTGTACATAGTTGTGGTGGATGAGGGAGAAAAGCTAGAGAAGGAGAAAGGATCTTTCAGGTACACTCGTCACGTTCTACAGAGTACTCTACAGCTTATGGGATGCAAACCGCGACATGCTTTCAAGGTATGCTTGTTTTCTTTTTTCAATCATACTTCCGGATTCATGCGAAATCCTCTAGAAGATTTTCTAATGTTTTTTTTTAGCAGTTCAATTTTCTATATTTTCTCATTTTAGAGGTTTGAGTTTTATGAAAAGCAGTTCATCTTCAATGGGATTGTTCGGCTCTGTGATTGCAGCATGACCTGGGAATAATTTCGTTGAACTTGTAGTCTAGTTGTTACCATGATAATCCTGCGTTACATTGTTGTATAGATTAAGCAAGGAAATGGATGAGAAATTCAAACTGATGGTCACCCAAATCTAATATTCTTATTTAATCATTGAGATTGTCTGATAATAAACATGTTTCTGATAGGAACCTGAACATAAGATTGAAGTATCTTATGTCAGGTTCCTATCAGTTTCACGGCTTAGAGATAGTAGATTGTGAATGCCCATTCACCCATTATACCTTTGTCAGGTTTTTTCTTTTGATTTTCTCTACCTTTGTTTCACTCCTTGAGCAAATCTTTTTATTTTTTTGCGGTCAAGATGTTGGGTGGATTGGCAATTGGCGTTTCCTTAATTTCCTTTTTTGTTATGTTTTTTTCTGTTTTTTTTCTACAGTCGTTACCTTTTGTTGTTTCCATTTGAAAGCCATACATCCTTCACACAAATCGAATGAAATTTCTGCTGAAAGAGTTTGGTTTTTTCTGAATGTGTTCTTCTGTGGTCAGATAAGCAAATGGGTATTTGAATTGATAAGAAAGGAAGCTTCAACTGATGTTTTTCTCCCTGAAAAGAGTGACATATTGGGATTGGTTTCTTTGGTTGGACAAGGACAAAGTGAAAATGATACTGATTATTACCATAATTGTTTTGATGGAAAGGAGATTTTCGACAATTTGGGTTCAAGAGAAGGTGATAATAGCAAGAATATTCCATTCGAGTTATATAAAAAAAGCAGGACTGCTGTTGTTAAAAGAGAAACTTTCCTAGATGTTATTTGTGATTCTCTGGCCAAGTACAAGTACGTCGGTCCCAACCAGAGGGCAGACTTGATCTTGGCATGCAGGTACTTAAAACATCTCATTTTTTAGGTAATGTTTCTAAAAGATGGAATTTATGAGGTGAATTATATTTATGTATTGCTGTAAACATATTAATTTGGTTAGAAATTGGTTATAGTTATAGAAATTTTACATATTTGTGCATATTCTCTCGTGAGGTATTGAGACAACATTTTTTTATTATTATTTATTTGTCATGCATTTGAACATTTTCATGGACGATATAGCTGCATGTACTTCAGCTTGTTTGATAGAATTGTATCTCTGATTGAATTAACAAGGATGAATCTTCTCCAATAAATGGTCTAAGAATATGTGGGGTGATTAAGTTTTCTGCAATGTGCCTTCATAATCAGAAATGTCCCGGCTGCTACCATAGATAAGGACCTGGTTATTTCTTCCCTTTTCAACTAGATTCTTGTAGCATTATCATTTTCTCAACTTTTCAGTCATCAAAGCCATATTTGCTTTCTGACAATATTTGTTGACAACAGAATGAATGTTGATAACATTTAGAATTACGAGGGCACTTCTATTATAACTAAACATCATCTGATGGCCATGTTCTTAAAGTATGATCATAAGCTTGCTATGCTGTATCTTTGTTCAATTATTTCATCCTCTTTCTGTGTGGTGCATATTGCATTACATATATCCTTTATTTTAAATTTTCTCACTGCAGAATTCGAGAAAGGAAGGAGTCTGTAACTGTGCTGTTATGTGGTACTAGCGGCTGTGGCAAATCCACTTTGTCAGCGCTGCTGGTAACGTTTTGTTTTCCTGACATCTGTCTTTATACCCCCAGAATAGTTGAACTTATTAAAGGGGTCATTGGTTAATGTCTTATATTGCAATGTGGACATTTCAAATTTGTGACATTTGTTGCTTGCTAAAACTTCTGGAATTTGAGCATTCTGCATTTCCCATTATAGGGTAGTAGGTTGGGAATTACAACGGTGATTTCAACCGACTCTATACGACACATGATGAGGAGCTTTGTGGATGAGAAACAAAATCCTCTGCTCTGGTCATCAACCTACCATGCTGGGGAATTTTTGGATCCTGTGGCTGTAGCTGAATCTAAGGCTAGGAAGAAAGCAAAAAAATTAGCTGGAATTTCACACAAACACATGAAGGATGAAACTTCTGATGGTTTGATTACCATAAGCTCAGACAACCAATTAATAGGGTTAGCAAAAGTACCGAACAATTTGGAATTAATCAGTCCAAAGCAGATGGCTATTGAAGGATTTAAAGCCCAGAGTGAGATGGTGATAGATAGTCTTGATCGTCTTATTACTGCATGGGAAGATCGGAAAGAGTCAGTAATTGTTGAGGGAGTTCACTTAAGCTTGAGTTTTGTGGTATGGTGTCTATATATATATCTGACTTGTTTATCTCTTCCATATCGTAACTGAAGTCTTTACATCCACATTCTTTACCAAAAAATAATTATATTACTTATCTGCAGATGGGACTAATGAAAAAGCACCCGTCAATTATACCATTCATGATCTACATAGTGAATGAGGAAAAACACTTGGAACGATTTGCAGTACGTGCCAAGTATATGACACTGGACCCAGCAAAAAACAAGTATGTGAAGTATATTCGAAATATCAGAACAATTCAGGACTATCTCTGCAAGCGGGCTGACAAGCATCTTGTCCCAAAAATAAACAACACCAATGTTGACAAGAGTGTTGCTGCCATTCAAGCAACATTGTTCAGCTGTCTTCGGAGGCGTGAAGCTGGGGAGCAGCTTTATGATTCCTCGAGAAATACTGTTAGTGTAGTCGATGAGGAGTACAGAAATCAGTGTGTAGCATATTCATTGAGTTCCAAGGGTATGTTTCAGATGATCCAAAGGAAAGGTTCTAAGCATTTGATGGCTCTGGTTAATACTGATGGATCGGTGGCAAAGGCTTGGCCTGTTGATTCAGTTGATAGCAATGGGAAACCTCTCCTGGGTCTCAAGGCAGATGATAGTTCAGGGAATTTGATGTTTGGATCACTTCAGATTGGTAAGGTTGAACCAGTTAATCTTCAATTTGGTCTTTATGGCATCAGTGCTTGGCCAAGTAGTGGTGGCCCTAGTCATGCTGGTAGTGTTGACGAGTCGAGGGCTGAAGGGACTGATACTGGTAGTAGATATTTTTCATCCTGCTGCAGTTCTCCCAGGATTTTAGATGGCCCTTCAAAGGAGGTAAATTTTATAATGTCAATTTTCTTAGTGACATTCAATTACTAATTTTTGGTCCTTAATAGCACGTTGATAATATCTTGATGCATAGATTAATATTTTTCTATAGCTCAAGGAGGATATTTCAGTTCATGGTAGTGACGAAGAGGTTGATGATCCACCAGAGTCTGGCAGTGATGAAGATTTTAGTGATGATGGTGGCAAGATTATTCATGAAGAGGTTGTTCAGCTCGACTTCTCTTTTAAGAATCATACGGTCACATGGAACAATGATTTATGTCCTAATTCCTATTTGGCGATTGAGCTACTCTACATTAATTAGTGCCTTTTTCTTTTCATCCAATGCAAGATTATAGAATATTATTTAGCCTTGAAATAGAATTAGAGTACTAGCCTTAAAATAGAAGTAAATCATCCAATCCTCTTCTTTTAAGTTAAACAGGACTTTTTATTACAGCTAAGGCAGTACAAGAGTTTCTTCTTCTTCTTCTTCTTCTTACTTTTTATTTTATTTTAAATAATGCAGATAGGATCAGTTGATGAGGAATCTTCAAAATCAGATGAAGAGTACGATGATCTGGCATTGCAGGACATCCTAGATAATGGCTACCAATCAGATGAAGACAACGAGGAGATTAAAAAAAATTGTGAAGATGATTTTAGGTATCAATTTAGACTCAAAAAAGGACTCAAGTGTAACCAAAACCTGGAACCGTTCCAACAGAGTAAGAAGGGGACATTTTAGCCCCTCACCTCTTATATCTATGCATACAGAGAAGAATGAAGCAGTTTGCTGACTTGTGAAAATCTCAAAAAGAAAATTCTACCAAGCCATTCCAGACTTGTGCAAGAATTGGTTAGCTGCTGATGTTCACAAATTCAACCTGGAGCTCCAGGTAGCTAATTTCTTTCCCTGTCTTGATTTCTCTCTGTGTTTTTCTCTCTCTCTCTCTCTCTCTCTCTTTTTTTTTTTTTTTTTTTTTTTTTTTTTTTTTTTTTTTTTTTTTTTTTTTTTTTTTTTTTTTT